AAATAGTAAGTAGACACCACGACCTTTAAAGCGTGGGTGATTGGCCGACCTACTATGGCATTGTAGGGGGAGGGGGTCGCGACCACCAAGAAATCATGCCTGAGTCTTACTGTGCTAAGCCACGTGCCGACATCCACGGGTACTGTGACCTTTCCCAGGGGTCTGACCTCTTCTCCGCTGAAGCCGACCAACGGGGTGTTCGCGGGCTTCAAGTCATTCTCTCGGAACTGGAGTTTGTCGAAGGCCGCTTTAAAAAGGATGTCTGCCGATCTGCCAGAGTCAACGAGTACGCACCGAACTTCGTAGTCTTTGATCTTTACCTTTATGACAAGTGCATCGTCGTGGGGGTAGTGGACCCCGCGCGCATCGTCTTTGGTGAAGAATATGGGGTCTTCCGTCCTAGGCTGCTTTGGAGGATTTTGTTCTTCTCTGGAGACCTCCCGGGTTGATGCCCGAGCTGCTGCCGAGGTGCATCCTGCTACGATCGATCCTCCAACGATCACGTGGATTGTTCCCTGAACTGGTCTTTCCNGGGTTGATGCCCGAGCTGCTGCCGAGGTGCATCCTGCTACGATCGATCCTCCAACGATCACGTGGATTGTTCCCTGAACTGGTCTTTCCTTCGAGGGCTGCTTCTGTGGTTGTTCTGCTGGCCGGCTGCTGGACTCGGGAGCATCTCTACTGTGCTCCCCCTGCCGACCTGTCTTATTTCTATTATTGTTATTATTATTATGTTGTACAAAATTTCTTAGGTACCCGCGACGGATAAGTTCCTCTATCTCGTTGCGGAGATTATTACAATGTTTGGTGCTATGACCGTGGTCTCTATGGAAACTGCAGTACAAGTTTTTATTCCTCTCATTCGGGTTTCCCTTCAGACGAGGTGGCCACTTCACATATGGGGCGTCTTTGATCGTCATTAAGATCTCGGCCCGCTTCGCGTTTAAGGGCGTGTAGTCCATCCGACCTGCTATGGGAGCTCGGAACGGCTGGCTTGGCTTCGTCCCCCGAGCTGGGACTTTCTTTCTCCTATCATTTGGGTTGGAGGGTTCGCCTTCCCTCTTCCTTTTTTCGTTCCCGCTTTCAGTTCTTTGGTTGATCTCCTCCTTTGTCCTTATGAATTTGTCCACAAGATTGAGGAATTCAGCTACGGTCGCGGGCTGGTTGACTACTATGTGCCACTTGAACTCCTTGTGTGTCACACCCCTCTTGGCTGCCGCGAGCTGTACTGCGGGGTCTAGGCGTGGTATCTACAAGCACGCGTCATTGAACCGCTTGACATAGCCCCAGATGGACTCTCCTTCCCTCTAGACTATTCCGAGGAGGCTCTCCTCGGTTCGGGGGCACCGCTTGCTGGTAACAAAGTGCGCGGTGAAGACTTGCACGAACTAGGTTCAGCTTCTTATCGACCCGGGGGCCAGGTTCCTGTACCAGGAGCGGGCCACTCCCCTGAAGGTGGTAGTGAAGGCCACACACATGTAGGACTCGTTGGCCCTTGCCAGGTGCATTTGGGACTAGAAAGCATCGACGTGGTCATTGGGATCAAAGGACCCATCATACTTGTCTAGAAGAGGGAGTTTGAAATCTTTGGGCATGGGAACCGCAAGGAGTTCTGATGACAGGGGGAAGGGACTGAAAGAATAGGGGCAACTTTTAACTCATCCGAGCTTGCTTCTTCTTTACCTCGGAGCTCAGGCAAGACGCGGGTGGTAGTTCGGTGACTTCGTCGGCGCCTCCGCTGCTACTTGGAAGGCCTAGTATTAGCGCTGCTTGCCTCGGTGTTGCCGAGCTTGATAGGCCCGGACTGTTGGTAGTCCGCGGCCAGGACGCCGAATTGGTTCTCTGCGAGCGGGAGCTCGAACTTAGAGTGCCGAGGTGCTGACTTGATCGGCTGGGAGGTTCTTGATCCGCCGGCGAGCTGCGAGGCAGGGGTAATTAGTCTTCCCCTCCTGCCCGGGGATGAGGCCTAGCTCCTGGAAGGGTTCTGAAGCTAGGAAGCTTCCCCTTGGTGAAGGCGCCCGCCCTGAGGGGAGGGCTTGACCGGCTTGGCAGCAGGGTGTCAAGGTGGGAGCTGAGGTTGGTTCAGAGGCAGTTGGGGGAATTGCTGTTGGTTGACACTGAGAAATGTGGTGTAGTACTTGCTGCTGATGGAGCTGATGTTGTTGGAACTACTGCATTTGGGCTTGCATTGCCCGCATGCACTGCATCAAGTCCTCAAGTTGGTTCTGGCTGGTTGCCAGAGGGACAACGGTTAGTTCGGTGAAGGTTGTCTCGATAGGGAGGGGAAGGGGAACATTCACAGGTGCCACCGTGCTTGGTATATTGGGGCTAGGGATTCCGTCCGTCGAGAGGGAGACGGTGAACTGTCCGATGCATACAGTGGTGGGCTGAGGGTGTTCCCCTACAGCATTCAAGTAGGCGTTGTGCCTGTTGCTGCTGGAGGAAGCCATGGATGCTAAGGTTTCTTTGAGAGAGAGTTAAAGGTTAGGGGAGACTTTTTGAAGTCTTCCCACAGACGGCGCCAAATGATGATGCGCAATCCGGTCGGTCCTAGGTGTCGGTTACCTCGCCTCTAACAGAGTTGGAGGTTCCTGAAACAAGGAAGAAGCTGGAGACTTCCGGGGAGGAACCCGGTTGGAACACTCCGAAGCTCAAGTTAACACTCTTGAGAAGGCAAGGGGAAATAAGAGACTTCAAGACCAGAAAGCACAAAGATCACATACCTCTTTCTCTTGGGGGAGGAAGGCCTCTTATAGCAACTTGGTGCACTTACTCCCAAAATTTTGCTAAGTCAGGTATAACCGCCTCTGTGGGGGGCAGGCATAACCACCACTGTCCTCTCTGTCAGGGCCATCTCTGCCACAACTGAGATGGCGGTGGCAGGTGGCCGTTACGGCGTGATTGCCGTTTGTCAGACCCAGACCAGCCAGGTATGCTGCCTCAGAGTACAGATGTCAGATACGGTTTTACAGTCGTGCGACTTGGAGCCGAGGTGTTGGAGTGGTGCGTGAGGTGAAGTCTTGAGTTCGGATGAGTAGATCCTACTGTCCCGAAGTGATGGCACATGGTCCGAACTGGCTCGAGGTGGGCTGGCCCCGGCCTTGCCCCTCGCGGGCTTTGCTGTTAGCCTCGGGATCCTTTAGGGAGAGTTCGGGTTTCCTTTTGGGGAGCTCGGGCCTCTCTTTGAGGAGCTCGGGAGCTCGGGCCTCTCTCTTGGATAGCCGCGCTAAGTCATCGTGCCGAGCTGGCGTTCCTGCCAGGTCATCTCGTCTTCTTCCACGTGTCGCACAGCCAAGGGGTCGGGCCAAATCTACCTCTATCAATATTAAAGAAGAAATTTCAATTGCTCTATGGATATGATAGATAAATCCATAGATCTAAAACATATTTAGTCTTTATAGGCAAAGAAAAAACTTACACTTTCAAATTTTTTGTTAATTTATATTTTCCCCAAATATTTTCATGAAATTTTCCTAAATATATTGATAGCACAAAAAATGTGATTTTGAATGTAAGAAATGTTGATCAACATAAATTTAAGCATTTAAGAAAAAAAAGAAATCACAAGATATTATAAGAGATTGAAAAAATTTACCTATTTTTGCCATATTTTTTTCAAAATTTGAAAAATCTTTAAAAGAAATTAACGATCCATGCTTGTTTCTTGCAAAATTTTGCAAATCTAGTACTTTAGGAATGAAGTTTAGAGTTTTAGAGTCATTTGGGGTGAAAGAAGGCTTATTTTGGAGAAAAGAAACTTACTTTCTTCCTTTAATTTTTTCTTTGTTTTTGACCGTATCTTTTTTATCGATACGCTACCGATATACCTCGATACACCCTCGATATGCCCCCATACACCCCTAATATGCCCCAATACTCTCCCGATATAGATTTGATACACAAAAAAAAAAAACAAAACGTCCAATTTACATACATATCTTATATCCATTTTTAAAAAATACGATATCAAAATGTTAAACTTTGCTTTTACCTAACAAATTGATAAGGGTGGACTGTCACATCCTGAAAACATGGAAATCTTCAAACTCTATATAAAAAAGCCTATTGATGACATAAATAATATAATACACTCAATACAAGCCTGAGCGTGATCTATTATTGCTTTATTTTGACCTGTCTGTGTGTTGACAGTGTTGTATAGGCATGATTTGACACTTGGGCTGTTTTGGGTTCATTAGAAAATATAAGAGAAACAGAATGTTCACGGAAAGTTCCTACGATTTTTTTCCCTGATAATCAATAAATGGGCCGAGTTTGGGCTTTAACTCAGAAAGAAATTTACTATTACCAAATTGCTAAATGGGCCTTATCAGAAAGAAAAATAGATAAATGGACCTTGATGCTTTTTGAATGTATCATATACCACAGGACCACTAGCTTCAGTCTAGGCCCCTCATGACCTAACACGTGGGAGGTATCAGAAGATCAGAACCAGTGGTTGGATGGGTCCCACTTAAGAGAATGCTTACTTCAAAGTCAGTTGATCTCCGTAGCCATTAGCCAATCTGGTTCATGTCAATTTCAGAGATTTCGAAGAGTTTTAAGTAAAATTTCAAGGTCAATAGGATAACGTTGTCTCGCTCCCTAGGTGGACCCCAACCCAATCTTAGCCATCTAACGTTTGATTGACGTGGGCTCCATTTTCAACGTCTCAAATTCTAGAGAGAGAGAGAGAGAGAAGTCTTTATGGGTTGACGAAGAACTCTCAAATTATGACAACAATGACTTAATGAAGAAGAGCATCTTCTTGCAGTGACGTGCACTGAACAAATAATATAGCCCAGCTAAGAAGAAATGGCCACCGACATGGATCAAACATACTGTGATTGGTCTCGCTCAGAACTGCCGGCCGACCGGAGCGATAGCGATTCTCAGGTATAAATTTGCCGGCTTCATTGATCTTCATTGGGTTTTTCTATTGTAATTGCACACATTGGATTTCTTTCTCCGGAGCTCATTTCTTTTCTATCATGTTAAGCATAAGATGAACAGAATAACGTAGGATGAGGGTATGTTGGGGGGGGG